CAGTTCATCTATTAATGGAATCTATCAAATGACAGATACATAGATGATAATCTCGTTATCAGTTCACGCACGGCATCTTCATAGAGAACCTTTTCCTGCATGTCCAGCGTTCCCCAAAGAGCGAATCCAAGAATCCAGAAGCGTGGCATAGGGAAAGGAGTCAGTTTGATGAAGCTCAGCAGCAATATGTGAGATGTGGCAGGAGATGACTTCTCGTAGGGTACTAGGATATATCATCAACCGATCCCACCATTAAGCCCGTGTCAAATGAACTACAATTCAACTGATGCAGATACAGCAAGAATATTTCAAGAGGGTGCGCGAATTAACGACATAGCACATTCTGATAATAGGGGAATGGCGGCGACGCAAGTGTGGGGTAGCAGCCTGGATGGCACAGGTGAGTTCATTCATCATTGATCTCGTTCATCAAAATTTTCTGGTAGATTGTAACATTGTTTGGAGACAGATATCGCCCTATGCGATGCTCATTTTGTCCATAATTTAAAAGCTCTGGATGGTGGTACATCTAGTACGAACACCATCGTCATACGTCCAAAAAATTCACTACTCCCACACACCCATCCTATAACCGTATGACAGTGATCTCAGATGATCCCAGTTGGTGGCCAGCCATGAATTCGGGTCTTGTTGCCAGCTATTTTTTAGGTTTGTGGACAGACAGTTGGATGATGAGGGTGATATCTTGATCTAATCTTGGCTGCGGTTTCGCAGTTGCCGCCTCCGCTGGGGTGATGTATGATTTCGGTGAGCAAAATAGTCTTCAAAAACTGCTGATATCCTTATGGCATTACCAGTGCTAACATTCGGACAAGAGGTACGTTGATGTCCCCGAAGTAGTCATCTTACTAAGAATGATTTTATAAGTCGAACTAGTCTGGGTGAGCAGAGTCCCACACCAGAAGAACAAGATGAAAATACAATTAATTCGTGGCAGAGGCAACACTGGTCTCTGATGACTATTATGTATCTTAGTGTGAGGAACTTGTTTTATAAGTGTGGTTGACAAGTCGTGCTGACTTAATTTCTAGGTGCGCTACCTCGGAATATTATATGCTGTGTATGTCTGCAAGGTTAGGCAACCAGTGTTGTGCTAATTAGTTGTCTCTCAAAATCAGCACCAGCATGTTGAGTATGTTTCCTCACATATGCTATGCTTATTTCTTCTGACCGACGGTATGCAGTTGGAGTTCCAACCATCCCGATGACAGATGCAGTAAGTATCTGCCCTGGTTCCTGTCATTCCCGTCCAATCAACTGCACTCCCATGTAGGGGTGAGTGAGCTTCTTGACCCGCCCGTTGATTCAATATAATGACTACCACAGTTGTGAGTCTGTTAGGAGTGTGCGATACTCCTAGGCTGACCACTAACTCGATTTGTCAGGCTTCAACATGTTCGTCGCAACAGAGTGGACAAATGTCGTCGTGCCTGCAATGCTAGGTGGTGAGCTACCCAGCTGCAATCTCTCAGTGATACTGGTTTACTGATATATCATGCAAGTCATCATGATGGCTCGGTTGTATGCCATGTATCAGCGATCCCGAACGGTGTTGATACTTCTCATTATCGTCTTGCTAGCTGTCACTATCGCCAATGGAGCAATGAACGAAATAACAAATAGGTATGCCTCAGGGGGTAAGCTCAATTATGGATGAAAGACTGAAGACCATGAGGCTCATTGACGAATACCAGAGGTATACATTCTCTTCGGCACCTATGAGTGTGCTATTGACTACGGGAAAAGTGGCCAACTTCTGATGACCATGATTTGGATGCTCATCATTGTATGGGAGGTCCTTGCACTGTGGCTCGCAGTCCGGATTGCTGTAAAACATTTCCGTGAACTGAGACAATCATCTGCAGGAGGGATTATTGGGGACTGTTTCACGGTGTTAATGAGAACCCACATGGCCTACTTTGCGAGGTGAGCTCGTAATGTGAATGTGGTTGTCCTTTTTCGCTGAAGCTTCACAAATGTCAACTTAGCTTTGCTGCTGCTTCGGGCCTCCAGCAGGTTTTTACTATGCTTTCAAAATCTCAGCGGTATGTCGATCTATCATTGACCTCTGCATGCAACTGCAGTTCATCATTTCCATAGGACCAATATTCCTTGCAAAATCAGATTCTTGCTGGTGTCGCTCAAATTCTTTCGCTCACGGAGATGTTTGTGCTGGAACCACGCTTGATCCTTGACGTTCGAGAATACAATGCTCGGCGCGTGGCTGACTCTGATGCAGCAACCACCATGACTTCAATTGCTTTCCAGGAGCGCGTGCATGTGTCCACTAGCAGCAGTGTGTAACACGGGAGATGACTTCTTTACACTGGGAATTCTGCAGGCGAGAGAATATATTTTTGTTCCAAGTTTTGTCACGGTACTTATTTAATTAAGTTATGTTGTGTTCCAAAGTATATTTGAAAGAGAAGTAGGTCTGGACAAACATTTATCTTTATGCATCACTACTGGCACTAGCTGCTACTGAGTACTCACACTTGCACCAAGCGGCAAGCTGAAACCACGTAAAATGTCTCACAACCAGTCCTCATCTTACCTATTCCCCACCCAAGTGCCCGGATTGCTCGATAGCTGAGATGTAGCAGTAATTCCCACAGAGCCTGAGCTATCATTCGAGCTGAAGCGACCGCATATTTCAGTGGCGAAGACAGGTCATGAGCCTGGAGAGCGCGATGGAGCTTCCACCGTTCGAAGCTTGATCAAAGCTCCAGATGCTGAACTCATCGTTGAGGCTACCATCGGTGCGTGGCTAGCGATCGAGAAAGATCAAATCAAAAATACCGACCATCCAAATGCCAATCTCACTTCTACTTTTTCTGTAGAAAACGTCGATATTCGAGCGTCCAATAGCGAGCAAGGCAAAAAGAATGACTGAAGCCCATAGATATATGCCATTCCTTCATGGCAAACTTGTTCTCGAAGTTGGTGCCATGTCTTGCGCGGCGGCAAAACGTGCATGCCACTGATAACGCACCTACAAAACGGCCAACCGTGAATGACACCAACTTGGATGGGAATGACATTCATTAAGGCGGGAGCGATGACATCGCAGGACAATGTAACTCACACGGTCATTGTCGTGGCATCGACAAAGGGGATCCAAAATTATCGACATAGAATGCATAGACTCCGGAAGAGAGCCTGATTGCAGAGGATCGACCAACCTTTTAGCGCATGTCTCTGCTATGATTTGTTTCACAGTACCCTTGTTTTTTGGGGGGTGCTACTGTTGCTCGTGCTGGTCTATCATTGTCTGATGAGGTGTCCCAGTCGCCCTAGAAGATCTATGAGGTAAAAAGGGGGAGAAATAGGATTATGAAGAGATATACGGCTGGCGCCAATTACTCCTCGTCTTCACCCTCCTATTTACTTCTCCACGGGCTTCTTTATCACAATCGATGATGCAGCAGGGACTAGAATCCACGTCGTCAGATTTCGTGATCGTGGTGAGCGTTGTAGTAAATGAATAAATGGTTGCTTTTACCCCAGTCAGACACGGATGGGGTGGACACTGTTGGATAGCGCTATGGTACAAGTACGTGAGCGTACAATACTGTCCCTTGCGATCTATTCGTGATGGACCGTCATTTCATGAGTCACGCTTTTTCGCGGTGAATTTCGTGATATACCGTTACACCGTGTGACAAGCCATCACGTTTCCATGCCCAAAAGTGTGACTCACGAAATGGAGGCTCATCACGTAACCGATAGTACAGCAAATAGTCGGACGAGGCAGCTGGTACCAAACACCTGCTTCCGAAAACCCACGGGTTCACTCTGCTCATCGCCGTCACTTGCATGAACAGGCGGCTTCGGCAGACTGCTTGTAGCTATACTCCGAGGAGATCCTACCCCAATCATCATCAATGTACTGTAGAGATACGACACTAGCTTCGTCACGTGCAGCACGTGACACAGTCACACTTGGTGTCACAGCTTCGAATGACCCTGTGACCTGTGACCACACAAAAAATAGCTTCGCAAATTGTGATTGCTGCACCTTGGCTTCTTGTCTGATTCATATATTATTGTAAAGCTGAGAAACAACAGGTAGAACCTAGCTCGGCATTGTTGTTTTTATATGTTTTCTGTATGTTTTTCTGTATGTTTTTACCATATGTCACAAATTAGCTTCGGTCCCCAAAAAATTGGTGTGACAGTCACACCAAATAGGTTCGATTCGTCGATGGCTGTGACCCGTGACGAACCTAGTGTCGTATCTCTACAGTATCATCGCTTGGCATAACGAAGCACAAGAACTAAAATCAACCAATCACACCGTAACATCAACCTCGAACGGCCGCCTGTGCTATCTACCGATCACCCTATACCACTAACCAATCTCGCAATACCACAGCCATGAAACAGCAGGGATATCTTAGTACGCCCGTTGAGAGGCCATCTTTGCCATCTATATTGCTGTTGAACTTCATCAACTGACTTCTCACGCACAGCTTCTGTATCCTTCGATTCGCTCATCAGAGGACGCGGAGCATCAGGGAGCATGCAGAAAAGGTTCTCGATAAGATGGTGTGCGACTCGATATGCTGTAGTACTGTAGAGATACGACACTAGGTTCGTCATGTGCAGCCTGTGACTACGTCACACTCAGTGTCACAGGTTCGAATGTCCATGCGACCTGTGACCATACCCAAATAGATTCGCCCGCGGGTGAACAGTGACCATCGGACATGCTGCTTTGTGATTGCAGCAACTTGCTTCAGCTTGTCATGGATTCGCCTCACATAGCTCTGAATGGTAATGAGTGGACTTGGAGACTCCGTGGTCTTAAAGCCTGCCAGGTGAGTCTATGATCCATTTTCAAGTGCCTGTCATTCTGACATGCTACTTCGTGATTGCAGCAACTTGCTTCAGCTTGTCATGGATTCACCTTGCATAGCGCTGAATGGTAACGAGTGGACTTGGAGACTCCAGTGTAAGGCTGGGGAGAAGTTCAATCTCTCGTTTGCGAGTCTCACAAGTCGGGAGGCATTGCAATATTTACGCGATGTTCAGAAGAATGATCTAGCTGGATGGGCGAGGATTGCTACTGCTCAGTACAAGACTGACAGCGTCGACCAGGCAACAGACTCCGAGTCAGAGGATGAGGCCACTAATGCTATCGGAGTTGAATCCCAGTGACGTGCCAATGGATGCACTTCTTGACCATATGGCTTCCAGGGGTGAACACGTCCATTCTGACTGCCGTATCAATGCAGATGGTGGACTTTCGTGTGCAAACCACTCCGAAGTCTATGATGTGGGTGACATTGCTGCTGAAGATGTGGAAGGTGGCTTGAACAGTGTTCTGAAGGTTGAGTATGGGCGTGGAAAGTGTAGACACATCGCAAATTCAATGTATGATGATTTCTGGTCCTATTAGTGCACAACCTATGTTTTTTCTTATGTTTTTTTTTCCATATGTCACAAATTAGTTTCGTCCCGCCAAAATCCATGTGACGGTCACACCAAATAGATTCGATTCGTCAAGGGCTGTGACCTGTGACGAACCTAGTGTCGTATCTCTACAGTATAGATTCTAATAATAGATGAACAGGTTGACTCCGAATGCAAATGTAAATATGCATGACGTGATTCAACTCTGAGCAAGCTTACTATCAGCCATACAACTTGAACTTGCCACAAGTCCTAGCCGGCCTCACCACCCATCCTATTTAGCAGTATCCAAAACACCGATGGCATTACATAATTGCATGATCCATTTATTTGTACATGGGTGTTTTTGCATCAGATTTCATTAGAGTTGCGAGCGTGACCTTGTTTAGGCCAGGAGGCGCTCGTAAGGCGCGGCTTATCTTCCTGTTATGAGCGATGATAACGTTTAGATGATCAATGTTTGATGAAATCATTCACGTGTGCATACAGCAAGTCTGGCCTCCTGCTCCGCCATCAAGTCTTCTTTGTTCTCTAGTGCCCTCTCATTTTTGTTAATATAGGGATGGGCGTCGAATATTCGCCAGATATCAGCTATGGATGATGCATCAGGATGTATCTGCCTCCGGACATCGATGCGTCGTCGTCGTCGTATAATCTCCTTGGCTTGAGCTACTCCGCTTTAGCTAAAGGCAACCTGGCTTTCATTTGGTTGGGGCGCTGGTGGTAGTACTATAAATTTCAGCATCTCTGTTTTCCTATGTGATAGGACTGATATCCACGCTTTCGGCGATCATAGATTGTTCTCCTCCGGGATATACATAAATTTTGAATGATGTCCGCATCATCTGCGGCACTGTCCATATGCGCTGCGATCCGAGAAGATGGTTCAGAAGCTGCATGACAAACGAAGAGGTTTTAGTTGAGTACAAGGGCTCCCCACAAGTAGATGTATTCGTTCTCGCTAACGACAGTGGCCTATGCAACGTTCCCAGATTCCAAATGGTGGTCATAAGCACCTACATATCCACAGATACGACAGCTCAAAGACGACGAGCTCAGTGAATTATGTCCCTCTCACAACAACGTCGCCTGCTAGCAGTTACTGGGGCATCGACCAATCTATTGCCTACGGTAACTCCACCATTTTGTCCGAGACTGCTGGTATTGTTGACACTGGCACGACCCTCATTTTTATCGCCACTGGTATGACAAGTCATTCATAAACAGGTCATCCCAACTGACTTGAAAATATTAGACGCATTCAACCAGTACAAGTCTGCCACTGGTGCTACGATGGATCAGAACACCGGTTTCTTGATGATCACATCTGATCAGTATGCTAAGCTGCAAACCCTGACCTTCAACATTGGCGGGAGTTCCTACGACCTCACCCCCGACGCCCAAATCTGGCCCCATTCCTTCAACACTGAGATCGGCGGTAGCAGCAGCAGCATCTATCTTATCGTTGCTGATATCGGTAGCAACTCTGGCAGTGGCTTCGACTTCGTCAACAGTTACTCATTCCTGTGGGTGTTTTAAGTGACCTCATTTAGCATAAGGCTAACCATCTGCTCTAGTCAACGCTTCTACTCCGTATTCGACACCACCGACCACCGAGTCGGCTTCGCGACCACTTCGTATACCGATGCGGTCATTAACTAAAATAACCGTGTGGTGACCCCACCCATACGCACGATTTAAATATTTATATCAGCTAATGGTTATTCAAGATCGATGAGGGTGTTGGTTATTAAGAGACGAATGCAAGTAGGCTCCACAGAACGAATTTATGGTGTATCTATACCTAGACTGCGTCCTTGACTGAAAATTGACTGAAATTCGTTACTTCTCGACGGAGTCAGCTGTAGTAAGATGTTGCATTCGACGCCGGCGTCGAAGAAGTTTAAGTTGCCACTGTGTAAGCGGATGCGGCGCTCATGTTAGGAAGCCTCCAGGATGAAAAAACAGGCGGCATATACCTTTCCTTGTCCTTCATGGACCTCTCAGGATCGTAGAAATGTAGCGAGATTACAGAGAAACAGCCCACATACGATGATAAAATACTGGAAGGACACACAAACAGTCTATTATGACCGGACGAACACCAAACTACGTTCTATCAAGAAGGTACAAGTTGATACAACAGTCTATGGAGCCGTTGCTGTAGGTGAGCAGCTGATTACATTTACCGCCCTGAATCTAAGTAGCATTACATTATTGAACACTTACGACGCTATGTAAGACATGTTCGTGTCTGTTGCACATTGAAGTCTGAAGTGTTCCATTTGGAGAACAGTCATGGTAAGGAGTGTTTTGGGATGACAACAATAATGGATAGATTCGCGATCAAGGCAGCGAGCTACACGGCGGCGTGGCTCCCGCGCTGGTTGGTGGGCGCTGCTTATATGCCGGCTGCTTGGCTGCTTGCTTGGCAGCAAGTTTGGCCACAGCCGCGCCTGGTAGGGGCGTGATCTAGATCGCACTAGATGTCGCCGTGTTTGCTGCTTCAGCAGAGCCGCTGCTGGCAATCCTGGCAGATTGCCTCGTTGTCCTAGATTTGGCACAGGCTACAGTTTGAGCTGGTCTAGCGGGTTCTCCGCAGATTCTGGCTGAGTTTGAGAGTCTGTTGACTCTGCAGGCTCCGATGGTTGAATTTGGGATGTTGACGAGCCTGGGAGTTGCAGGTTCAAATGCTGGTGGGTCATACTGAGTAAGGCAAGTAATTTGCACGGCAGTGAGCAAAATGAAAGGAGAAAGAAGGAACGTATGTGACGAAATACTACGATAACGATGAGGATAAGTAAGTGAAGGTTAGGAATTCGCGTTGTGAGTCCGTTGTGTATAGTTCGATTTTGAATATGAAAAGGTGAAGTCTGAGGCGTCTCGCTCAGTTGGACGCGTGGTGCTGATTCTCCGGCGGGCTCCGAACCGGCACCTTGCTCATTGATACATTCAAATCCCACTCTTGTCATCCTTTTTGGACAATTCACGTCTTTTGGACATTCTACAGAGTCAAGCGCCTCGCAGAAAAACATCCATAAGCCTGAAGAAGACTTGAATAAAGCAAGGAGAGAACGAACAATCTCGGTGCATCCTGACACGTCGCTCGTCGCGTGCGGTGAACTCCAAGTTGTGTGTTATCACCAGACACAGCTATGGTGTTTCGTTGTTACACACAACTTGAAGTTCACCCTAGTGATTCGCCCGTAAGCATCTTTAGTTGTGCTCAACCCATTCTCCCCTAGTCAGACCCATAAGACAGTCAAACAACCTTTGCACTTCGATATCTCCAGGCAAGCCAGCCTTCAAACCCAGTCCAAGCAACTTACCGTCATATTTCAGAGGTTACTTCCTCTGCCTGACTGGATACATTGGTTTCCGACATATCCAGCCCCGGTTTCTCTCTCAAGAAGTCGTTTGCGGACGATAGCTACTGGCGATTTTCGCACCTTGCACTGGTGCACTGGTCATGTGAAACCGTTCATTCAGGGAATTGTCCAAGGCCATAGCACAGTGAGTACTGGCGTCTTCACTCTGGTTCAAAACGAAGACTACTCATGAAAGTCTTCGTCCCGTGTGACCATCATGGATCATTCACTCGGAGTGATGGATCGTTTTTGTGCTGGAAATACGCCTCTCTGCCGTCCAGCTGAGTGGAGCAGTGTAATGGAGTACACAGCAGTAATCGTAGGTGCAGGTCAGTTTGGCTTGTCTGTAGCTGCCCGTCTGGAGAATGTCTGTATCATAGGTGATGGTTGGCGTTCTCGACACGAGTCACTAGAGACGAATACACCCAGGGTATACAGCCGAGCCACCGCTGCTTTCGTCCTAGTCGGGTCGTACGAGTACAACCTATCTTGAAAATTACCAGAGGATTCTTGGTCTTCATGTGTTGACCTTGGCGCGCGTTTCTTCTGCTTCATATTTTTTTTTGTCAAGTACCTGGTCGATATCTATATTTCGTCTAACCCTCTATTATTGTGTCGGCACGTTGGGGAGGTGCACTTCCGCCTATGCCACAGATCCCGGGTAAGTACGGCGGGATCCCTTGATTATATGCCGATGCTAACACCATCTGCCTGTAGAACTCCTTTCTCGGTTCGATTCTCCATTCAAGCGAGTAAAGATCTACATGTTGCGACAACACGCGGACAGTGGTGGTCGTCGATGGAGGATGCTCTGCGCATGGTATTGTTCAGGACTTGGCAAATCGCAAAGGGCGTATCCAGCGTTCACCGACCGCTGTCATAGTCGTCAGACGATCAGGCATTGACTCACTGGTAACCTTAGTGTCATTTCTGTTGAGATCTCCGCTGATTCAACTCATAGGATATGTTAGGCAGGACGCTCTTCCGACAGAGATAGCCGACCGTTTCTACGTCGCCCTCCCTTTTTCAACTTTACGAACTTCCCAGAACGATGCCATGAAGAGAAATTCCCATATTGACGTTGACTGGTTCGTTGCACGACAAGTTTCGAGGATAATCACTTCGTCTTACCCGGTTTCTTTCACTCGGAGACCTCAGGGAAGATTTATCCAGGCACGGTTACCTCCTTGCTGATCCCCAGGACAGCTTCTTACACTGTCTTGTAGTTTGACGGGGTCAGTTTGTTTCTTGCCCATTGTTCTGTTTTTCTCTTCCAGGTGGTTACTACATTTAAATTGACCGGGGTTGCACGAGCTCATCACATCTGGCAAGATAGCTGAGTTTTCTCTTATGCGCTTCTGCAGGTTACTAACCAGCAGCAAGATCACCATGAAGGCTGGGCATGAGATTTCCCACCCTTCGCCGTCTGAGATGGTCTTCGATGATGGTTTGCAAGTTAAAGTAGACCTCGTGATCTTCGTGACTAGCTATATTTTTTCGAAGATCTGTCCGTCTGATCGACTCGAGGACTAAACAAGTTGCCGAGAGCCTTTTTGGGTTTAAGGTTTCGGATACCGTCTGATACCGCCCATGTCGTTGGAGGCTGAGATGGCGATTATGAGCCTGCGAGAGTTTGAAGGCCTTCTGGATGTAAGACCTGTGTTAATTTGATTGCGCGACTTAGCCATGCTGATGCCATTTCTCTAGACAAAGGACTTTGGTTTGCGGAGGGCAATCTCTTCGCTGCACGCGCTGGCAACCATACTCCTACCAGATCCTACCCCGATCATCATGCTGGATCGCTTGGCATATAGCGAAGCAGTCAACCAATTGCAGGCTGGTAACAGTTCATCTATTGATGGAATTTATATTAAATACATAGATGATATCTCGTTATCAGCTCGCGCATGCATCTCATAGAGAACCATAGTACGTTCTGATAATAGGGAAACGGCGGCGGCACAAGCGTGGGTTAGCAGCCTGGATGGCACAGGTGAATTCATTTATCATTGATCTCGTTCATCAGACCTTTCTGGTAGAATGTAACATTGTTTGGAGACGGATGTCACCCCATGCGATGCTCATTATGGCCATAAAAGCTCTGGATGGTGGTACATCTAGCACGAACACCATCGTCATACGCCCACAAAGTTCACTACTCCCACACACCCATCCTATAACAGTATGACAGTGATCTCAAATGATCCCAGTTGGTGGCCAGCCATGAATTCGGGTCTCATTTACAGCTATTTTGCAGGTTTGTGGAGACAGTTGGATGATGAGGGTGATATCTTGATCTAAACTTGGCTGCTGTTTCGCAGTTGCCGCCTCCGCTGGGGTGATGTATGATTGCGGTGAGCAAAATAGTCCTCAAAAACCGCTGATATCCTTACGGTATTACCAGTGCTAACATTCGGACAAGAGGTACGTTGATGTCCCCGAAGTAGTCATCTTACTAAGAATGATTTTATAGGTCGAACTAGTCTGGGTGAGCAGAGTCCCACACCAGAAGAACAAGATGAAAATACAATTAATTCGTGGCAGAGGCAACGCTGGTCTCTGATGACTATTATGTATCTTAGTGTGAGGAACTTGTTTTATAAGTGTGGTTGACAAGTCGTGCTGACTTAATTTTCTAGGTGCGCTACCTCGGAATATTATATGCTGTGTATGTCTGCAAGGTTAGGCAACCAGTGTTGTGCTAATTAGTTGTCTCTCAAAATCAGCACCAGCATGTTGAGTATGTTTCCTCACATATGCTATGCTTATTTCTTCTGACCGACGGTATGCAGTTGGAGTTCCGACCATCCCGATGACAGATGCAGTGAGTATTCTGCCCTGGTTCCTGTCATTCCCGTCCAATCAACTGCACTCCCATGTAGGGGTGAGTGAGCTTCTTGACCCGCCCGTTGATTCAATATAATGGCTACCACAGTTGTGAGTCTGTTAGGAGTGTGCGATACTCCGAGGCTGATCACTAACTCGATTTGTCAGGCTTCAACATGTACGTCGCAATAGTGTGGACAATTCTCGTCGTGTTTGCAATGACAGGCGGTGAGCCACGCAGCTGCAACCCCTCAGTAATACTGGCTCACTGATATATTATGCAAGTCATCATGATGACTCGGTTGTATGCCATGTATCAGCGATCCAGAAAGGTGCTGATACTTCTCATTGTCGTCTTACTGGCTATCAACATCGTCAATGGAGTGATATACGGAATAGAAACTAGGCATGCCTCAGGAGGTAAGCTCAATTATGGGTGAAATACTGAAGATCATGGGGCTCATTGACGAATACCAGAGGTGTACATTGTCTTCGGCACCTATATGTGTGCTATTGACTATGGGGAAAGTGACCAACTTCTTCTGACGCCCATGATTTGGATACTCACCATGGTATGGGAGGTCCTTGCACTGTTGCTCGCAGTCTGGATTGCTGTAAAACATTTCCGTGAACTGAGACGATCATCTACGGGAGGGTTTATCGGGGACTGTTTCACGGTGTTATTGACAAATCACGTGGTCTACTTTGCGAGGTGAACTCGTAATGTGAATGCGGTTGTCCTTTTTCGCTAAAGCTTCACACATGTTAACTTAGCTTTGCTGCTGCTTCGAGCTTCGAGCTTGGTTATTTGCTTTCAATAATCTCAGCGGTATGTCGATCTATCATTGACCTCTGCATGCAACCGTAGTTCATCATCTCTATAGGACCCATATTCCTTGCAAAGTCAGATTGTTGTTGGTGTCGCTCAAATTTTCTTGCTTGCGCAGTACTTTGTGCTAGGACCACGCCTGATCCTTAGCGTTAGAAATTATCACGCTAAGCTCGTGGACGACTCTGATGCAGCAACCGCCATGACTTCAATTGCTTTCCAGGAGCACGTGCATGTGTCAACAAGCAGCAGTGTGTAGCAAGGGAGATGACTTCTTTACACTGGGAATTCTGCAGGCGAGAGAATATGTTTTTGTTCCAAGTTTCGTCGTGGTACTTATTTAATTAAGCTGTGTTGTGTTCCGAAGTAGATTTGAAAAGAGAAGTAGGTCTGGACAAACATTTATCTTTATGCATCACTGCTGGCGCTAGCTGCTACTGAGTACTCACACTTGCACCAAGCGGCAAGCTGAAACCACATAGAACGTCTCGCGACCAGTCCTCATCTTAACTATTCCCCACTCAAGCGCCCGGATTGCTTGATAGCTGAGATGTAGCAGTAATCTGCCTGTCGTCTTCGTCACCCCGTGCCCATATTGTTATTTCTTCGACGGGCAGGACTCCGATGGTGTAATCCACGAAGAGATAATAGACGAGTCCCCTCAAGTTTTGTTAACTGCACGAGCGGCACAATAGTGGGAATGGCGAGATATGATAGCGCATACGCAGGGAGGCAAGGTGGTCCGAGTAATACCGTAGATGCGACCTTTGACATGCATGTCGCCCAGTAGGAAGTCAGGCTGGGAAGATAATATCGAGGAAAGGAGATCGTCGGGTACGAATGAAGGCCGAATTTAAAGGATGAAGAAGGCTCAACATATGTGAGCACGCGGGGGATTTCATCCGCCTATACAGTAGCCCCATTCACGGAAACACCTCAGTCGTATGAGATCATAGTGTCTAGCTCGGACGATGAGGTGTTGTGGCGCTGGTTTATCATTGTCTGAGGGGCGAAGGACGTACGGCTGGTGAAGATTCCTCATCTTCACCTTCCCAACTTCTTCATGGGCTTTTTGTTGTGATCGATGACGCAGCAGGCTGGACTCCACGTTGTCGGATTTCGTTCTTATCAGATCGTGGTGAGCGTTGTAGTAAATGAACAAATGGTTACTTTCACCCCAACAGCTGTATGGAAAGCCGGCTCTACAAATATTCTGACACATGTTCGGGACTCCGTGCACCTCTCTTTTTTTGCAAGGTGTTGCGCTCCCACTACATGTTATTCCCACTCAACGGTTGTCCTGTTTTCCATACATGTGGCCGATGTACAATTTAACAGTAGAGACTTGGTGTTGTAAGTGCAGGCTTGCTGCTGGTGTGCACCGGCGGTGCTCCATACAAGTCAGAAAGTTAGTAATGTGGGACACATAGGTGGCCTGACGGTGAATTCCTGGAAGAGGTATAATGGCGCAGGGGTGCACGAAGTCCCATTGCCCAATATGGATGCGAGACCGACAGTATTCAGCATCCTCTTCTATGCGGGCAGCACGTCAATTCGTGGACTTGAACACCCTCTTTGAAATTTAAACACCTAAAGCACCTCAGCAGACTGCTACTCACAGCAGATCCTACCACCAAGCACTTGTCATCTAACAATCACCCCATATCACTAGCCAATCCCACTATGTCCCAGTACGCCTGCCGAGAAGCCATCTTCGCCATCTACATTTCATCCAATGGCTTCCCCATGCACAGCTTTTGTATTCTTGGATTCGCTCCTCAGAGGACGCGGAGCATGCAGAAAAACCACGTCAATTGGATTGATAGCCTTACCGCTGAACTTATTTCTGACACCTTCGACTCCAAGGAACTCGCTTTCGTCCACCCCGGGCCCCCCTTCTTCACCTAAACTTAAACCATTGCTTTTTGCCAGCGTTCAGTATTGAGCGCTCGAGTCGCGGCCGCTTGCTCAGCATGTCACAACTACATCGTTGGTTCCATATAATGACTACCACAGCTGTGAGTACGTTCGGAGTCTAATCCTCCTGATCATTAACTGGATTCGGCAGGCCTTATTATGCACGTCGCAACGGAATGGACGAGTGTCGTCATGTTTGCAATGCTAGGCGGTGAGCTATGCGGCTGCAAACCCTCAGTGATATTGACTTGACTGGAATATCGTGCAAGTCATCATGATCACCCGGTTATATGCCATGTATCAGCGATCTAGAACGGTGGTGATACTTCTCATTGTCGTCTTACTAGCTGTCACCATCGCCAATGGAGTGATCAACGAAATAGTAACTAGGCATACCTCAGGGGGTAAGCTCAATTATGGATGGAATACTGAAGACCATGAGGGTCATTGACGAATGCCAGAGGTGTACATTCTCTTCGGCACCTATGAGTGCGCTATTGACTCTGGGGAAAATAACTAACTTCTGAGTCCCATGATTTAGATACTCACCACCGTATGGGAGGTCCTCGCGCTGTGTCTCGCAGTCCGGATTGCTGTAAAACATTTCCGTGAACAGCGACTGCGACGATCGTCTGCAGGAGGGATTATCGGGGACTGTTTCAAGGTGTTGATGAAATCTCACGTGATTTACTTTGCATGGTGAGCCCGTAATGTGAATGTGGTTGACAGTCCTGTTTCACTGAAGCTTCGCACGTGCTAACTTAGCTTTGTCGCTCTTTCTTGCTTCCAGCTCGGTTATATGCTTTCAATAATCTCAGCGGTATGTCGATTTGTCACTTACCTCTGCATGCGACCATAGTTCATTGTTTCTATAGGACGCATATTCATATTCTTTGGAAACTCAAATTTTCTTGCTCGTGCAGTTGTTTGTGCTGGGACCACGCCTGATCCTAAGCGTTCGAGAATATACCGCTAAGCTCGTCGTCGATTCCGATGCAGTAATTGCAATGACTTCGATTGCTTTCCAGGAGCGCGTGCATGTGTTAACTAGCAGTAGTGTGTAGCACGGGAGACGCTCGATGTGATTAACAGCCGCCGTGCACTCTGCGGGGAGCAAGTGAATTTGTTTTTCCAAGTGTCGTCGCGGTATTAATTTAAGCTATGGTGTTCCAAAGAGAAACCTGTACTATAGGTCTAGAAAAACTACCTTGTGGCATCGCTATGGTACTAGCTGCCCGCCCACACGTGCATCAAGTGACAAGAAGGTCTCGCAACGAAGTCCCTTGGTGCTTGAACTGAAGTCAAATGTGTTCATCGTTTATCTAAGTGGTTTGCGACATTCTGTTCGATGAACCATTGGCATGTTGTGGCTCTGTTCAGAGCTGTCTTGTCACTTCGTCATGAAGAGAGATTTTTGCGCGCCGCGTTGCATGATCCTTCTCGTCTTCAAACTCTCCAATATCGGAATCACCATGCGCTGGGCAATCACCCTCTTGGCCAGGTGAAAGGGGGTTGGTTGGTTGTTAGAGCGATTATAAGAGACGTGACCTGGGATCCCGCAGAGCCTGAGCTATTATTCGGGTTGAAGCGACCGCATATTTCAGTGGCGAAGACAGGTCATGAGCCTGGAGAGCGCGATGGAATTTGCACTGTCCGAAGCTTGATCAAAGCTCCAGATGCTGAGCTCGTTGTTGATGCTACCATCGGTGCGTGGCTAGCGGTCGAGAAAGATCAAACCAACAACACCGACCATCTAAATGCCAACCTCGCTTCTATTTTTTCCGTAGAAAACGTCGATATTCGAGCGTCCAATAGCGAACGAGGAAAAAAGAATGACTGAAGCCCATAGATATAGGCCATTCCTTCATGGCAAACTTGTTCTCAATGTTGATGCCATGTCTTGTGCGGCGGCAAAACGCGCATGCCACTGATAACGCACCTACAAAACGGCCAACCGTGAATGACACCAACTTGGATGGGAATGACATTCATTAAGGCGGGAGCGATGACATCGCAGGACAATCTAACTCACACGGTCACTGTCGTGGCGTCGACAAAGGTTATCGACATAGAATGCATAGACTTCGGAAGAGAGCCTGATCGCGGAGGATCGACCAACCTTTCAGCGTATGTTTCTGCTATGATTTGTTTCACCGTGCCCTTGTTTTTTTTGGGGGTGCTGCTGTTGCTAGTGCTGGTCTATCATTATCTGATGAGGCGTCCCGGTCGCCCTAGAAGATCAATGAGGTAAAAAGGGGGAGAGATAGGATTATGGAGAGACATACGGCTGGCGATGGTGCAGCAGGGACTGGGATCCATGTTGTCAGATTTCGTGATCGTGGTAAGCGTTGTAGTAAATGAAAAAAATGGTTGCTTTTACCCCAGTCAGACACGGATGGGGTGGACACTGGTGGATAGCGCTATGGTACAAGTACGTGAGCGTGCAGTACAGCAAGTGGTCAGACGAGGCTGGTACTAAACACGTACCAAACACCTACTTCCGAAAACCCACGGGTTCACTCTACTCATCGCCGTCGCTCGCATGAACAGGCGGCCTCGGCAGACTGCTTGTAACTATACTCCGAGGAGATCCTACCCCAATCATCATTGATGTATCATCGCTTGGCATAGTGAAGCACGAGAACTAAAATCAACCAATCACACCGTAACATCGACCTCGAACAGCCGCCTGTGCCATCTACCAATCACCCTATACCACCAACCAATCTCACCATACCACAGCCATGAAATAGCAGGGATATATCTTAGTACGCCCGTTGAGAGGTCATCTCTGCCATCTATATTGCTGTTGACTTCATCGACTGACTTCCCACGCACAGCTTCTGTATCCTTCGATTTGCTCATCAGAGAACGCGGAGCATGAGGGAGCATGCAAAAAAGGTTCTCGATAAGATGGTGTGCGACCCGATATGCTGTGTAGCACAGATTCTAATAATAGATGAACAGGTTGACTCCGAATGCAAATGTAAATACATGACGTGATTCAACTCTGAGCAAGCTCCCTATGGTAAAGTGGGTGAAATCCTTCCTCAGCGAACGACAAGCAGCAATCTGCCTGGACGGAGTACTGTCACCATCGGAACCAGTCGAAAACGGTATACCTCAAGGATCCCCAATATCACCGGCCCTTTCGATTATCTGCACAAGCCCACTAAACGAAGCCTACAATGCGAAAACTCGAGCTCGTGAATTACGCCCGGACAAAGCCACACCGACCACATTAGCATGCTACATCGACGACGGAAACTTATATGTCTCCTCTCCATCCTTGGAGAACAATGTCGCAATACTCCGGGAGGAGTTCATTTTTGTGAACAATTGGCTTCGCGAAGCTGGACTGATGGCGGAAATTGACAAATCTGAGCTCATCCATTTCACATGGCGTCGCGCACCGGATCGACCACCTATCCTGCTGCCTAGTGACGAAGGACAGGTGACAATTAACCCCCGTGACTGTATCAAATGGCTTGGTATATATTTCGACTCTAAACTCTCTTTTCGCAGGAATGTATGTGAACTGGCAGGCAAAGCGGAAAATATCGCCCAAGGACTACAAATGCTTGCAAATACGGTAAGAGGTCTCTCGCAATCACTATTGAGAACTGTATACTCGGCTTGTGTCCGCAGTGTAATGACATACGCAAGCCCCGTTTGGTGGACGGGTGTGAAAACCCATGCAAACATGCTTACCCGCGTCCAAAACAAATCCCTTAGACATATCTGTGCCGCTTTCCGAACCACCCCAATAAAGGCCCTAGAAATAGAGACATCAATCCCCCCCATCAACCTCTTCCTCGAACACGCAAACGATAACGCCGCCACTCGACTACTCAAACTCCCCTCGTTCAACCCAATCCTACAGAGACTTGATCAACCCTGGCGACAATTTAACCTCGCTGACCCCCCACCCGCTCTTCCCACCGACAAATACCGTCCTCGCAGCCGCAAACCACCAAAATCGACCAGACTCACCCGTCTGTCAAAACGAGCATCCCCGAACGCGGAACGCATCAACATATTTGCGCTGCCACCTTGGGCAAACACGAAGGAAACGTACCGCGGCCGCCTAACGATCTCGGACAAGCAAAGAGGAGGCAAGAAAGAAGCCGCCAAAGCGCACATACAAACCGCTCGTAATCTACGAACGGAGGACACGCACCTTCTCGTTTACTCAGACGGATCGAAACAATCAGTCAGAGAGGAGGAAAGAGCTGGAGCAGGATGGGCCGGCTATCACAGAGGAAGAGAAGTCTTCTGGGGTCAGGAAGGAATGGGTCCCAAAGCAGAGGTGTATGATGCAGAGATGGTAGCGCTCCTTCGAGCAATATCGCGAGCTATCAGCTTCGCGCAAAATTCCCAGGTGACCCATTTACATTTCTACGTCGATAACAACTCTGTGGTGCAGGCTGCATATGCAGCTGCACCTGGACCCTCACAATACATTGCATTACAGATCAGACGCTCGATCGAAGACTACCTAACCACATCCCCCCTCCATCATGTCCAAATTGCATGGATCCCAGGACATCACAACATCATCGGCAATGAACGTGCCGACGAGCTTGCAAAAGAAGCCACCGGACGTAACGACTCGTACCACTCGACCTATGCAAATGCGCGCCGAAGAAACAAGGAAGGGATCTTGCAGAAATGGACAGAGAGTTGGAATAGAGACGTGGCAGCACAGACTGGACGCTTCGCTCTCGCAAATCGACTCCCACCAACGCTCAAACCCCGCCAACATTTCACTCACACTCCTCGAGAAGTATACGGCCGTCTTATACAATGCCGCACAGGACACGGATTCATGGGAGAATACTACGCTGCATTCGTTCCAACCGAAGAGCCCCTTCAGTGAATTCACCCGTCTGAGACGGGCAGCCGGGCGTGACAATGTACCGATAGAGACGAGCCATCCGGTGTGGGCCGGTGGCAATAATTGTACCGTGATAGACGAGTGGGCTGAGGGTGTGGTGTATCCGAGGCAAACGGATGGGCCGGGGGTATATAGTATACATGGTAGTATAGCAATGTACTATATAGGTGATTATGAATGGTGGTGAATCCAGTGTGTGATAGCGAGTGGGCCGGTAAATAAGGCACAATGGAGACGAGGGGGCCGGTAGATGAGATGCAATGGAGACGAGGGGGCCGGGGAATGGGGTGCAATGGAGACGAGGAGGCCGGGGAATAGGGTGCAATGGAGACGGGTGGGCCAGCCGTATGGGGTGCAATGGAGATGGGTGGGCCGGTGTTACAGGGTGCAATGGAGACGGGTGGGCCGGAAGATGAAATGTAATGTAGACGAGGGGGCCGGTGTTACAGGGTGCAGTGGAGACGGGTAGGCCGGTAAATGAGGTGAAATTGAGACGGGTGGGCCGGTGTTACGGGGTGCAATGGAGACGGGTGGGCCAGAAGATGAAATGTAATGTAGACGAGGGGGCCGGTGTTACGGGGTGCAGTGGAGACGGGTAGGCCGGTGAATGAGGTGAAATTGAGACGGGTGGGCTGGCCGTATGGGGTGCAATGGAGATGGGTGGGCCGGTGTTACAGGGTGCAATGGAGACGGGTGGGCCGGAAGATGAAATGTAATGTAGACGAGGGGGCCGGTGTTACAGGGTGCAGTGGAGACGGGTAGGCCGGTAAATGAGGTGAAATTGAGACGGGTGGGCCGGTGTTACGGGGTGCAATGGAGACGGGTGGGCCGGTAAACGAGGTGAAATCGAGCCGGGTGGGCCGGGGTTACGGGGTGCAGTGCAGACGGGTGGGCCGGTAGAACAGGTGAAATCAAGACGGGTGGGCCGGTAAAGGAGGTGAAATTGAGCTGGGTGGGCCGGGGCTATGGGGTGCAGTGGAGACGGGTGGGCCGGTGGACCAGGTGAAATCAGGACGGGTGGGCTGGTCAACCAGGTGAAATCAAGACGGGTGGGCCGGTAAAGGAGGTGAAATTGAGCCTGGGTGGGCCGGGGCTATGGGGTGCAGTGGAGACGGGTGGGCCGGTCAACCAGGTGAAATCAAGACAGGTGGGCCGGGGCTACGGGGTGCAGTAGAGATGGGTAGGCCGGTTGACCAGGTGAAATCAGGACGGGTGAGCCAGCATTGCGGTGTGCAATAGAGACGGGTGGGCCGGTAAACGAGGTGAAATCGAGCCAGGGTTATGGGGTGCAGTGGAGACGGGTGGGCTGGTCAACCAGGTGAAATCAAGACCAGTGGGCCGGGGCTACCGGGTGCAATGCAGATGGGTGGGCTGGCGTTATGGGGTGCAATGGAGGCGGGTGGGCCGGTACTGTGGGGTGCAATGGAGACCGGTGCATGCGTGCAAAAACCATATTCGGTACATCCATACAGTAACTGGCGTATCCATCATAGAACAACCGGGGGATCCATTGTATAGCAAAACAAGATCTACCGGAAATATATCTTTGAATGACATCACTTGTCTAAATATCTACAGTCCGTTGACCCAGAGTCCTCAAACCCATTCCATCTCCACTGGGTCGCTGAATTTTACATTGCTATATTTTGCATACTCTGTGCTTGGAGTCCTGACAAAGTTGTGAATGCTGTCTCGCATGTACCACGCAGTGACAATCCGGTTGCCTTCTTCAACATTCATGTAATGTCTCACCAGGCGACATGATGAAGCCAACATTGAGCCGGA